TATATCGGTGATTGATATTTCATAGCTTATTAGATTCTGTGCATTAAGATAGTTGCATAGTTGATTCATTGAATATTACGCTAAGGACTTTCAAGTTCAAAACATTGGAGAATTTATTTCCAGATGAAGTGAATCGGGGAGACTGTGTTTGTTTGCCGGCACCGTCCGTAGCTGCTGGAGAAAGGAAATGCCCAGCATCTGTTTCACTGGCTAATGCGGTACCATCCACAAGTACCGCCGGAATTACGCCTGTACGGGAGAAAATTTCTTTACGGGAACGTCAGCGGTGTAGTTTCAAATTACCTGCTTCTGAAGCGTATCGTCTGCGGCGTATTGCGGAGGCTCAGCCGATTACTCTGAAATCTTTAGGTTTTTTTCTTATAGCTTATATTTTACTGTTATTTTTACAGCGAAGATTTAGAAAGGTTTTTTCGGTTTCTTTTTGATTGATCCTTCGCCGTAATCTGGTTTTGTTTTCAGTTTTTCTTGACATTCGGATTGGCATTACTCGCGAAATATTTCAGGAATAGCTTCTGTGCAGATTGACAATGCGGGGCCGATTTCTATAATTGTTAGCACGTCATCTTTGAATCTTCCAGAATCGTCTTACACCACTGTCTTGGGTACTACAAACAGTTTAACATCGGCGTTTTCTTCAACCTCTTCAGGCGTTCGTTGCAAGCGCTCTTTGGAAACGACACTTAAAAGCGAAAGCTGGTATTTGTCTTACTTTTGTTTTTGTGTTCGAGAAAATGTTTCTTTCTTAGAATTTTTGTTGCATAAAAACGATGATTTACAGCGAAGGCAATGCGGGCGTTGAATCCATGCCATCAACTTCTTGCGAGTTGCCTGTGAGCAAGAGAAAATCTGGTGATTTTGACTCGCTTCATCCACCAGCTACTCCTCGTGGCTCAGGATTGGCGCGTATTCCACCTTCTGAAAATTCTAGTGCTGCTCAAACTGTTATGTCAACAAACACATCAGCTCGTCAACAACAGTCTAGTAATACCAGTAATAACAGCCCCTTGTTGGTAAATTTGTTAAGGTAATGTTTGCATCCTCTATTGTGAATGGGATGGTAGCTTTAGTCCTACTTTTTGTATCCCAAACAAAAAATTTTTATTTGTCATCTTTTTTATCATTTTTGAATTTAGAAGTGCATCTCCTGGCGCAGGCGCTGGTGTTAATGCACAACATTCACAGGTTTATTCACATAGGTCTGCTGGTAGTACAAATGCACAGCCAGTGATGACTCCTGGGCAGTCTCCTCCTGCAGGTTTTCTTTTTCAAATTGCCTCTTTTGTGTTTTTTTTTTGTGTTGTTTTTTTTTTTTTCTTGGTATTATAAAGAAGCATAGTTATCTTAAGGGTATTCACCTTATCCAGTCTTTATGCCACATACTCCAGTTGGGGGTTCAACTCCTAGCGGACCTCCCTCGGTACAAATGCGTCCTTCTTTAACTCCCACCGAAATGTCGCAGCAAACTCCAGGATCTTCACATATGCATGCAGAGGCTCAGCAGGTAATTTTTTCCGAGGTTTGTGTATTTGCAGGAGACTTCATTTTTATTGTACGACGCTTTTGAAAAGGTTTAAAAAGTTCTTCTTTTCAAAACATCCTAGTTTGTTCTGGTTTGAGTTCTGCCTATGCTCTCATTGATTTTAGCAATTTTAATCTCTACTGAAATCATAGTTTCACTTTTATAATTTATTTCAGTCTTTTTATGAAATCGCATTTCTATTTAGTGTAGTCAGTGTGTCAGTTTGTACCCTGAAGTTTTTTACTTGATAAAATTTTTTCCCCTGGGATGCATCTAGAGGTTTTTGCAATGGAGTTTTTTGTAGTAAATGTAGCCAAAAATTAATTTCTTTTTTTTTTTTTCAAGGGCAACTTAGAAAGATCAAGGCAGTTAGTTTCCGGTACTACTCAGAGCGGTCAACCAGCGCAGTTACCTCAAACGTACTATCCTGCAATGCAGTATACTCAGCAGCCACGTCCAATACTACCTGTTAGTGGTTAAATTTGTTGTCAAAAAATTTTGGTAGAATAAATAATACTTGGGGCGTGGTATTTTTTTAATTTCTATGTCAACCTCTTCTGTAAGATGACTTCTGCACGTAGATTAAGTTTTATGCATCCTTAAGACGAGTGTAATAGGTTTTTAGGTTCCCGAATTTTTTAAGTTTTTTATTGCATATAGCTTTTTAATCTTATCTTTAGCATGGGTATGTGCTTGCCAATGATGGGCATTCGGGACAACAACAGAGGCAACCGCCCGTTATGTTTAGTCAGCAAGCTAGGCATCCTCCGCGTCCGCAGTATATACTTGCACAACAGCAGTCAGTCGCCTCTGGTCATTCGCTTCCTCCACAGTACCATCAACAGCCTGCAGTTGAACAGGTAGGTATAGTATAATTTGTAACAGTTTTAAATTGGTCTTTGGTATTTAAATGAGATTTTTTTAGGAGCAGCCAGCACCACCACCAACGAAGAAACGGAAAAGGCCGAATAAGAAACAGAAAGAAGCAGAATTACAAACAGTAAATCCCGTACAGCAACAGCAACAACAACAGCAGCATTATATGATGGAACAGCAACAGATGGCATCTAGAATGCCCGCGAATGCACATCCGGTGGAGCGCCCAACAATGATGCCTCAGGTATTTTATGAATTTTTAGTCTTGTTAACTGTCATCTTGTTTTGGAAATTTTTAGCTTGGCTTCTACTGTTTTAGTTTGCGTTTATTACGTAACTTCACCATACATATAGAAAAATTGATCCGAACTAAGTCATTTCATTCATTACATATGGCTGTTGGTTTCGTTGAAACGTAGACTGCGGTATCAATTTAAAAAATTGCTCAGTTAAAAGGCTTTAAAACTTTACCGCGCGAAACCAGTGCAGTTGACTTCAAAGTCAGCAGCATCATCATTGGGCGCATTGTGAGTGAGCGTTTTAGCAATCTTTTGGAAATTAAAAGGAATATTGAACAATTCTGGTTTTTTCTTGCTGCAAGTTGCTCATGACAAATCACCAGATTGTAGGCCAGGTGCATTTCATACGGAAGGACGCTCATTAATTGTTGTTGTCATAGGTTCTTCAAGTTAAAACTTCTGGATGGCAGGGGTGAGGTTTTTTCAGTTTTCCAAGTATCACTCATGTGCTTCTGATCGAGATGTTCTAAATGGTTTTTTGAATTTCTAGGGCTTTGTTTTGGAACGGCTTTTTAGAGTGTTATTGTTTTGATTGTAGCTCCTGTTAGTGCTCCTCGATAGGAGGTGAACATCTTTAGTATTTATAAGTCACCTTGGGTCAGAGTAGGCCAGCGGTAGGGCTTTAGTTTTTATCAAATGTATATCACCGTATTATACGCATGTTAAAATTAAGGATGGGGGAAGGAAGCTAGCAAGGTCTGGGAGAAAGTAATAGGCAGAGCTGTTCTTTAAAGGTTTCTGAGTGATTACTGCAGTATGTGGGACATCATTTTTTTTTTTTTTT